AATGAACTGGGCAATCGAGAGGAAAAAGTAGGCGAGAACAAGAAGGGCGAAAACGGCGATGACTGTGAGGTTAGTCCTCAGTGAGGCGACAAGGAACATTATCGTCAGAATGCACCAGAAGAGCAAGTAGATCCCCAGGGCGAATGAGAAGGCACGCTCATTGCCGGCATAGGCACCCTTGATATCGAGAGAAGGAACCAGAAACATCGCAAAGCCAAGCCAAAACGACCCATATGAGAGGTGGACCGTTGTGCCGAAAGTGTTACCAGCAACAAATTCCATGATGCCTGCGATGATCTGTGCTCCACCACCGAAGAATACGGCTAAGCCAAAGACTGCTTGGTCTGGGCCAACAGACCCAAACGGATCGGAGCCCGGCAGGCTGGATAGGACATCAATAATGAACTCGATGCAGTAACTAATACATTGTCTGTGGAACTTACCCAGCTCCGCACTGATACAGACCCATCACAAACGTTGTAATGGCAAAGCCGAGAAGACCCAGGGGACCCGGGTTCGCCGTTTTGCGGTAAGAGGGTCGGGGAACTGAGGAAACAGAAGTTTCTCGAGCGTCATGGGTGGTGCCCACTTTGGAGTGGTCTTCGAGGGGGGCATCCACCTTGCCATTGTTGTGTCTGTCTGCCATATTGTCGTAGTAACTAATCTTTCATTCTCCCTGTTGGAAATATGATACCCGAGATCCAGCAGCAAGGAAGGGGCTCTCCTCTATATAAATATGTGGTTGGCTCCCACTTAAAGGATTCCTATGATGTAAATGCCAATGCTGGAATTGCGGGGTAAGCTACAATCTAAACGATTGCCGGTATCCGGCTCCTTGTTTCATGATAAGGAATCCTTGCAGATATATATAGCCGGTCTGAGGGAAGTTCATATTTAGTACATCTCAAACCGGGCTTTGTAGTCTGATTCTGACATCTCAAACTCAAAGATATGAATTGACATGACTCGTGGAACCTAAACTAACAGGTTGAGCCCCTCAGTAACGTCTCCAAAATCTTGCCGTTAGAATTGTTGAGACAAGAGCCCCGGAGGCCATGTTGGCTATTAATGGCCCATGGGAAATCAAGTTTGGCCATCCGTATATAACTGCGGGGTTTGGTCATCTTGGTTCCCCTCAAACTGCTTCAAGTAACAAGATGCCACCCGTTGAATCCGCCCACCGTGTAAAATCCACCGCATTCAACCAAATGCTCTCTTATTCCATGAATACTAATAAGCTTGCCATTCTACTATACATGCTTGTGGGCCTGCTTGTAATACCAGCTGCTGCAGCCTTCTTGGCCTGAATCAACTGCTTTGGCGCCTTAAACATATGCTGAGAGGTTTTGAGAGGTATTTAGTCAGTAAAAGTCTGCCACACCAGAGTTAAATGAGTTTCACATAATGAAGAAGTTTAAAATTCAAATCTACGAGAAACTCTAATATCCTAACAAAGTTCTAAGAAATCAATTCAGCTGCTTTTCATTCATTTCTTATTCTCATTTAATTTAAATTTAGTCTTTGAATACATCTCTCTGAATAGATCTGAATAGATCTTATCTTTTTCGCCAAAACTGAATTATCTTGTGATTCAAAGGCCGGCTGAATCCCCTAAACCTTTACTTCAAGTGGAACGCCACTTATATCGTGAAATAAAAATAGGTGCACGCTATCAAAATCGTCATACGCCGTGGCTTTGCATTTATGTAATGAAGAGCGGCTGAATGTCTACGTTGCTGTGATGTTGAACTGCTTTGCCGAAACTTAACTATAACTACATATGCGCAGTAGTTATAAATAAATATACTGTATTAAACCACGTGATTACAATAGCCGCAGTATTCACTAACAGCGCCCTATGTTACGACGCTCTGTCACCACGCCTTGCTAGCTCAGCTAAAATATTTCAAATCACAATGAAACTTAATTACAACAATCAAGAATCTGATTTCCTGAATAGAAAGGGTAAATCTTATAATTATGGATTTTAATATAATTAAATATAAATAATAAATATAATTTTTATTATAATTATAATATTTTAAAGTTTTATTTTAATATTTTTTTATATAAATATAATATAAGTTTTAAAATAAAAATTTTAATTAATATTAATCAAATATAATTAATTTTTTAATAATAATATTATTATTTATATATAAAGTATTTATTTTATTTTTTTTAATTTTTTTAATTATAAACTTATTTATTAAAAATTATAAAAATCTAATTATAATTTAAAAATAATTTACTTTATATGTAAATAAATTAAAATTTAATTTATAAATATAAATTAATATATATAATTATAAAGTTTTATTTTAAAGTAAAATAATATTTAAATATATATATAAAAAATAAATATAATATTAAAAATATTAAAAATAAACTATAAAAATATAAAAAATAAAATAATATTTAAATTAAAAATTTAATTTTTATTTTACATATTAATTATTTTTTAAAATTTTTATTTATTAAAATAAATTTAAATTTTAATAATATTTTTTATTAAATTATTTTAAATTATAAAATTTAAAATTTTTAAATAATAATTTTATTAATTAATATGATAATTTTTTAAATATAAATAACTTAGTATAAAAAATTATTATTATTATTATTATTATTTATTTTAAATATGTATAATTAAAAATTAATATTTATTTAATTAAATTTAATATTTTATAAATATTTAAAATTATTAATTTATATTTTAAAAATTATATTTTTAAAAATAATATTAATAAAATTATAAAATTTATTATAAAATTTATATAAATTAATATAAATATTAATTTTAAAATTTATTAAAATATTAAAAAATAATAATATGTTTATTATTAATTTAATTAAAATTTAAAAAAATTAAAAGTTTAAATTTTAAAAATTAAAAATTATAAAAAAAATTTAATTAATATTAAAATTTTATTAATATATTTTAAAAAAATAATTAAAATTTATTTTTATATTAAAATTTATATATATAAATTATAAAATTAAATTAATAAAAAATAAAATAATTAAAATTTATAATTTCTTAAAAATAATACTTATTAATTTTTTAATAAAAAATTTATATAAATTAATAATTATTTTATAATTATATTAATTTCTAAAAAAAATTTAAAAAAGTTTATAATTTTATATTAATTATTATAAATTTTATTAAATTAATTAAAAGAATTAATATTTATTTTAAACTTTTTTAATTTTATAAGTATTTTAAATATATTTTAAAATATATTAATTAAATTTTATAAAAATATTTTAATAAAAATATTTTAATTTATATAAATAGTATTATAATCTTTATAAATAAGTTTTGAATATAATATTAAAAAAAATTAAATAATAAATAAATATTAATAAATAAAATTTTAAATAATTTATATTTTAATTATATTTAATTTTTAAAAATAATTTTTTTAAATATATTATTAATAATATATTAATATAATAATAATAAAAAAGATTTAAAATTTTATATTTTTATATTAAAAAGTATTATTTATTAAATATAATTATAAAAAAATTTAAAATTATTATTAATTATAAAATTATAAAATATATTATAATAAAATAAAAAATTTTATAATATTAAATATATTAATTATAATTTATAAATTATTATTATTTTAAAATAAAAAATTTATTAAATCTTTATTTAACTTATATTATTTAAAAATTATTTTATTTTAAATATTTTTACTTTTATTATTAATTTGTATTAATTTTATATTTAATATTAATATTTTTTCATTATTTTTTATTATATTAATTTTTTTTATTTATTAATTTTTATTTTTATTTAATCTATTTTATGATTTTTTACTAAACTAAATATTTATAATCATGATTTTTATAATATATTTAAAAAGTCCAGGGTCAGAAGTACATGCATATGTACATACATTCAATCCTGTCAGGAATTTCTTTTGTGAACAGTTTGAAGAAGCACAGGATAGTCCTTGTAAGATACAAGCTCCCAGAGCAGCCAGTAACAAATCAAACAGATTGAGCCAATGTAGGGTAAGACCCTTACATTTGTGGAAAGCAGTTCGCTATTCAATTTAACCAACATCATTTTGTAAGAGACCGGATCAGACATGGTGAGAGAGGAGAGTTTAGTTTGTTTCATTGAGTTTGACAGATGAAATTCTAGTTAGGGTACCAACAATCTTCTTAAACTGAATTCTTTGGCTACTTTAAGTCAAAAAAATAAAAGTATGCTGTTACAAGACATTTTTCTCATAAATGATCTCAGGGCACTGAGCGTTGCTGCTCAAGCTGTTATTTTGTGTGATTTGAATTGTGTTATTTTGCTTTTTTATAATCATGATCCATGCGCGAATACGTGTCAACGATGATATTTTCAAAGAATGTTCACAGGGTGCTTTGTACCTCTTCTTCACACCCTCATCGATCACCTAGCCAACCAGACAGGCTCACCAAAGTCCATTGCCGCACTGAATAGCCAAGGTGATAGGCTAGGCTTTACAACACTGCCGGAAAAAACTGTCCTAAAAACACAGACTCAGAGATTAGACTTCCATTTTTCCACACCCCAAAAAAAGAGAGAGAGAGAGGAGAGTAACACGAAAAATTGAAATGATGATGAGAAGGAATTCTGAATTGTCGTCGACGAATTGAAAGATGATAAATTCGGTTGTGTGGCTTCGCGCGTGGTGGCAGTAACTAGTTAATTAGCTCAAACTTTCTCTGAACAATCACCAACCTCACCCTTCTTTTGTTCGTATTCGACTACGCTTACGACCACGAAAGACAGTTGCACAGAGAACAAATAATATATGCAACAATGTGGATCAGAGTATCCAAATATATATATCTTACTTAACTTCGCTCCCTTCTAGACGGCTTCGTGATTGATCTTCCGGCGCTCTAATGCTTTAGCCGACCACGGGAAATGCGCAACCGGAATGATGAAGAAGCTGTTGCTGGTATCAGCAAGACCCGCCAGGGCACTGTACCACGCCAGGAACGATGCAATAACTCCGAATCCACCGCCAGCTTTGACAAGAGTAGTGTTAGGCAAAGACTCAGATCCCAGGAAAATGTGGCCGAGTGCAAGCATTAAAAAGGCAAGGTCGACAGTAAGGAAGAGGAGGAAGAATACGACCGTTGACTTAAGCGTGCAAAGCAGGAGGATTGTAGTAAATATCCACCAACCCTAAAACAGATGGATGACAGATAAGCCTAAAGTCACAACTTGGAACACAACTTTGAAGAAACGAGACAGAAAACGAAGAGAAAGGGAGCTCGGGTTTGCTCACAAAAAGCCACAATCCCACTGCAGTCTGGAGACCAGCGACTCCGTTCTTCTCCGTCATTTCCTTGACGATTTCGAATCCACCAGGGGTGAACATGATTCCATAGGTGATCCAAAAGCCACCATATGATGAAAGCGCAGTGGCACCGAAAGTATTGCCAACTGCCATCTCCCTACAACGCCATTAAACTGTCAGTCACTGCAAGAAAAACGGGAACTGCCTTGGGAGGTTATTTTAAGTTGCCCACTTACCACATCCCAGCCAGTAATTGAACCAAACCGCCATATCCGTATGCAGAAGCAACCACAATGTTTGGCGTTGTTACCCCCCGCGTCTGCAGATTGATCAAGCTGAGGAGGAATGTTGTGAGAGCGAAAGAAGCCAAGCCCATGGGGGCAGGATTGGCGAACTTGCGTTGTTCGACAGAACGATAGAGACCGGGCTGGAATTCGCCACCAAAGGCCGGGAGACGCTCAGCGGTGGTTGAGACCTGGGCGAGAGGACCATAGCCAAAGCGAGCAGCGGCCTGGGCCACTTCGCGCTCCTCGTGGGTCATAATTCGGCCAGGTTCTGTGCCGGTGGATGAGACATTGCCGTTGTCAGCGAAATCTTTGTCAGTTGGTTCGCTCATTACTCCTGGAGAGATTGCGTATCAGCAAAGAAATTGGGCCTGACGCTGTATAACCCGAAAGGAGAGGAGGGGAGTCAGTCCAGTTCATACATGTGTATCACAAGTATAACTGAATAACGGAACAAAGGTACAGTGGAGTAAACAGAGGAGCAAGACAATCGATGTAAGTTGAAGGAGAAATTGGGTATTTAGATATTCCGATATCCTCGTGATGCATACACACCTGGAGGAAACGCTTACCTGCTCAGATCTGATAAGGGAGAGATGAACAGGAAAACGATGGAGGTATTTAAACCCAGCCCGGAGAAAAAAGAGAAGGCAGTATCGGCCCCCACCAAAAAAAAAAAAAAAATAATAATAATAATAATAATAAATTAAAGAGGGAAAACAAGGAAGTAGCAAAAGGAGTGGGGAAGGCAGAGGTATGTGTGAAAGACAAAGCGTGAAACAACAAAGGGACGAGGAGGAACCTAGGGAAGGGGGAAATAAAACTATCAGATGAAGGCTGATCACATACCACAGTAGGAGGTCGGACAAGCGGATTCTTGGTTCTGGTCTGCGGCAATCCAGGCTGGGCTCGCCCAAGGGAAACGAATTTACTGGGGCAGTTGAACCCGCAGTTTACAACAACGAGAACACTATGAAAGAGGCGGGAGGAAAGGAGCTGAGATGAAGAGTAGAATTGTCGATACAACAGGGGCGTATAGCTACATTTTGTTGGTAAGAGATGGAAGACGTGGGTTGGAGAGAAAGGGCAAGAAAAAATGGGAGCTAACTCAAAGCCCGTTGGTCAGATGCGCCCAGACTTTCGATCGATGGCGTGAATCCCAGGAAAGAGAATTAATTAAGGTGCGCAATGGCATTGGACTAATGAAGGAGATTCGGGAAGCGGCCTTGAACCGGGCCTTGCGAGAGCTCCATGTTTCGGCTTGCAGGGAGGAGAGGTGGCCCCACTCAATTCCTTGCGTCGGCATGTGGTATTCCGCAATTCAAGCATATTGGTGGTAATTTACGGCGGGGAGGGCAAAGGGAATACGATTTGATGCCACTAGATGTCAACCTGTATTCCCAGGATACGGACGGGTATTAGTTTCGTGAGTGTATATCACCTCTCTTTTTAGGTATCAAGAAACATACCTTTGTACGCCAACCACGCGAAAGGGTGTCTTAAAGTGGAGGTATGATGGAAAGCAAAAATAGAAAGAAGAGGCGAAAAATTAAATTTCTGTTTGGAGGCGAAGGGTCATCAAAAGATCTGGATAAAATTGTTGAACTATCAACCTCATATGGAGAAAGCCAGTTGCCAACCATTGCAGCAGCAGCAGCAGAAGAAAGAAAAAGGTTCTCATGAGTATCAAACCTAAAAAGATCCCGACTTATATTCACATCTGTCGACAGTCGTATGGGTTGTTGTATGGATTATTTATGTGGGCAGTACCTCCCGACACGGCAGTCACCGTATGACGATATCTCGCTTGGTTGGTTAGTTATTCTATGCAGTAACCACTCCGTACATATTAAAAAGGGATGTGCGCAAGCAATTACCCGTTGCAATTTCTATTGGGATATGGCCTCTGTCGGTAGGTATCCTTACCCATCAGGTTGGATTCAACAATACCATTCTTCCACACAAAAGTAAAAACAAATAGAACCTGAACCCTAGAGTGTATGAACTCTATTCTTCTGAGGCTGGGCGGGTTGGACAAAATCCCCAAATTGAAAACTGAAAACTGAAAATTAATCGTATCATTTCAAGAAACATTTACGATTTGAAAGGGCCCATTTTCACGTATGTGATCTTTCATGCCTCCCAAATGGTGCCGGATTAAATATCCTAAGGCTGATATCGCGGTAGATGGCACGCCAACTCGATTGAGTGCCTTTGAAATCAGTTACTTGGGTACATAACTAGGTAGAGAAAGTAGCAAATGCTTCTGAAGCCTACTCCGTTCTGAATCTTCTGCGCTCCGCTTCAGAAGTTGAAATTCCGCGGGAGCTTGTCATGAACATGAACAAGCATGTGAAGCTACTCCGTTGTTAACTAACAATCTAGTCACGTTTTGCTGGCTGTAGCTATTATGACAAGCGGCTATGCCCGAATCTTGATTTTTTCCGAAACCGACAACGCCGCAGAACACAGTGGACATTCAACTAAATGCTAGCACCCCTTTTGGGTCGGCTTTTGCCCTCCGCGGGTGGACGGAGCTATTCGAGCCTATAAGAATCAGCAGTTCACTTTGGTAGTGGGGGTTATCTATGAACCTTATGAACAAAAAGTAACCAACCCCAATATTAGTTCATCTTACCCATCGTTGGAAACACACCCCTATCCGGATAGCCCTGGCTTCGGTTCTTCATGCACTAGTTACTTTGCCAAGAGCGCAAAAAAAAAAAAAAAAAAAAAAAAAAACAAAGCAAGAACAATTGGGATAATTACCACAAAATATCATTTCAAAACAAAGTGCCTAGGTATCTAAGTGACGTTATTTGATTGTTATTTTAACATCCTTATATATACTCCACTCCCTTCCCTGCAACACTATCCAAGATAAAGTAGAAAATCTTCTTACGGTTAGGGAGTTCTCTCAGGGCTTTTACGAGCACATAGGTCTCTCTCATTGCCAAAACGAAATGGAGGGTGAGCAAAAGCTGTTTCATACTTCCCCCAACTGCCGTCTGTTGCAACGTTGAAAAGATTAAGAACATATTGTTTCCCGGAATGGGAAATACGTATTGTATGATCAAGCGAGGTGAATGAAAACCATTCATGAATTCCCCAGAATTTCTCTTTTGCACAGTACAGCGCTCTGCAATCCCGTATCTCCCAATGCTTTACACCTTATCCCGGGGGAAAGTGTCAAGCAACAACGTTACGTTTTTTATAAAATAAAGAGGGACCTTTGGGACTTCATCAAATTTCAAACAGGCCAGCGTTGCACAAATCAGCTCATTTGCCTCCATAGCGATCCATCAGAGCGTCCTCGCAAATTGCCTCTTTTTGAATCTTAAATGGAAAATGTCACGCCATGTCGCGGCTATCACTGTTGGGGCAATGACAGCCATTATTCTCCCACGTTGCAACTTGGTGGACTCCATGAATGGCAATGGGAACGCATGGTGATGAGCGCCTAGGCCAGGTTAAATGCTTAGATGGGGGAATATAGAAAAAGCCGGGACAACAAAGGAAAGGATTGGGAAGAGAGACAGGGCGGAAGAAGCTAGTTGTTCATGATCCAGGTGTTGAGGGTTCCTGGTCACAACCGAAAAGCGCTGCGTAGAACGAGATGGTTAGTGAGTGGAGACGGTGCTTTTTAGGTATTATCCACTGTCAGTGTGTAAATTTTTCCCATATTGTGAGTTGTTCAATCGATTCCTGTAGTTAAGATGACACTTCATCTAGTGGTCTGTGGATTCTTGACCTTCCAATCAGCTCAGCACAAACTATTATCACCATCTTCTCAAAATGAGGGCTCCAATGTGAAATATTTATTTTAATAAAGTCATTGAAAAATTAATAAATGTCAGTATTCCTTCTGTTAAAACTGCAGCTGCAACTTACAGAGTTTCAAGAATCTTTATATTTCACTGATTAGCAGAATATATTATTGGTATATCTTATACATGTGTGCAGTCAGAGACTTAGATAAGTTCCTGAGTGTGAAGTTGAGTACAAGACTTGAATTATACAGTTCAAAACCTGACCTACAAAACAAAGAAAACTAATAACAGATCTAAAATCTAACTAGTTTACTAACTACAGAAATGATGACAATTCATATGTGTGTATTTCATAAACTCACAGTGAGTTTAAATGACATTATATCAGAGACATCAATCAGATGTCATCTGATGTTGAATCAGCTGATTCATCTGATTTTTAAATCTTGTTTCATTGAATTTAAGACATTCTCAGTGAGATTTGAAATCACAGCTTTTGATTTCTCAAAACTTCAGTTATACTGACAAAATTACATGTGAAATAGCTGATCAGTGATAGAAAAAATAAAGCTTTAATTAAATGAGAAGAATTTTCAGTTTCATAAATACTAAATGAAGATGTTTAAACTTATTTTTTTTCACATATATATAAAAAGTAAATTTTAATTAAACTTTGCTTATTCTTTAAAAAAAATATTAAATTTTTAAAATATAATCTTAAAATACTTTTATATATTAAAAAATTAATAATAAAAAATATATATTTAATATTTATAATATTTAATATATTTTATTAAAATTTATAATATTTTTTTCATATAATAAGGTTCAATTTATGAAGTATCAATTAAAATAAAATAGTTTTTAATTTTTATATATTTTTATTTCAATATATATTCAATAGTTAAAAAGTAAATCAATTTACTTTATATAATTTAATTATAAAAGATTAAAAACTAAATTAATAAATAATTATCAAATTGTATAATACTTTTTATGCAAGTTTAAATTACTATATTATTGATGATATAAATATTCTATTAATTAAAAGAATAAGTGAATAAAATCTACTATTTTTTGAAATATTTTTTTCTCTTTCTTATTTCTTCTTATAAAGTAGACTAGATAAAGTAAGATTTTATTTTACTTTAATTATTCCGAGATAGTATATAATTAATAAATAAAGTATATATTTTATATTAATATTTAATATAAATAGTTTATTTGATAAAGTCAATAAGTAAGTCAATTAAAAATTATTAAGTATAGTTTTATATTATATAAAAAGTGTTTTTATTTTATAAATATTTTATATAATAATATATATATTCCAAAAAATATATAAAATATATATTAATAAAAAATAATATAATAAATTTATTTAAATATTAAACTATTAACTAGTTAAGTTAAAAGATTTAATAATTAATATATATATAATTGAAAAATAAAAATTTAAACTTTAATTTTAAAGATTATTAATAATATTAGTTATTAGTTAGTTATTTTATTAAGTTTTTAATATAACTATTTAAAGATAATTATTTTAAAGTTTTGATATA